GGAAGATGCTCATCAAGCGCGTCGTGACCGAGGCGCTCAAGGACGACGACGACGACGACGACGACGACGACGACGACGAGGCCGGCGAGGCGCCCGTCGAGGCGCCCGACGACGACATCGACGCCTACGACGACGACGACGACGACGCCTACGAGGAGGACGCGTCCGTCGAGGCGCCCGACGAGCGCGGCGTGTCCGGCGAGTCCGGCGACGACGACGACGACGACGACGGCCTTAAGATCTACGACGATTGCGACGACGACGACGACGACGCGTCCTTCGACGAGCCGGATCTGGAGCCCAAGCCCAAGCACAAGCAGACGCGGGACGACAGCGTGCCCTGGCGCACGACGAAGACGTGGACGGGCGGAACGTTCGACGAGAAGGCGCTGGACGACCACCTGGAGCTGCTCAGCGAGGACGGCTCGGAGTGGACCGGCGGGGGCGGCTACTCCCAGAAGTGCGGCGACCGGATCATCTACAAAAAGTCTTCGACAGTGTCTCTCGCGCGCGCGCCTCCGCCTCCCGCGATCCCGACGCACGCGTCGCCGCCCGCGATCCTGCCGCACGTGTCGCAGGTGCAAGTGGGAGAAGAAGCTCAAGTGCCCGTGCAAGGTCCGCATCGTGCACCCGGCGGACCAGCCCGGCGTCACCTATTTTCAGGAACGCCTGGGCCACGTGCACAACTTCGACGACGAGATGAAGACGTCCACGACGCTGCCGGTGAAGATCCGCGAGATCGTCGCGCCCAGGGCGCCAAAACCCAAAATCCCACCTTGTTGTTGTAAACTCAAAAACGCACTCTAAAACCCAGAAACGCAGTTTCCCGGTCACTAAACCCAGAAACGCAGTTCCCGGCACTAAACCCAGAAAAATAGGCCACTAAACCCAAAACAATAGGGATCCGAGGGTCCAGGGGGTCCCCGGGGACCCGCCCGGGGCGTGCGCGAGCGCGGGGGCGCCCCCGAACGCGTGCCGACCGTCGTAACGCGCCACGCGGTCCCGCGCGGGCGCGACACGCGGCCGTCGCACGCGCGCTAAAGCGAGACCCTCGACAACCCGCCGCGTCGCAGCGCCCTTCCCCACCCCCTGGTGCCCCGGGGGGCCGCCGGGGCGCGTAGGAGCATCGAAAAAAATAAAGTAAAAAAAAAAGTGTCAATAGCTCCCATAGCTCGAGGGGCCCGGTCAAAATTAACTCCGAACTGCTTTAGAGCTACTAGTAGTCCTCTATCAAGGCCGCAGCTGCCCGGGCAAAGTCGGTGTACATCTTAGCCCGGCGCCTCGGCGGAGCCCTTCCGCGCGGCTCCGCACTTCTTTTTGCAGCGCGACTCGGAACTGTCTCGGGGCCCGCGCGCGACGCTTTCCAACGTGATTCGTGGCGGGTCCCGCGATCGCGCTGTGCACCGGCCGCGGGCCGCCTCGGGCCGTGCGCGACGCTTGGGAGGCCCCGTCGGACCTCGGACGACTGCGGCGCGGCGCTGCGGTGGGTCGAGGCGGCGCGATCGCCTTCCGCAATCCGCGACATCGGCTCGGCGCCGTAGCGGCTGACGCCGCCGCGGCTTCGCGCGCGCGCTCGTGCGGCGGTCCCAGGCCGTCGCGCCCTCCGACGCCCGACCCCAGGGTCGACCCTTCGCGCTGCGGCGCGCCGACCCAGCCGTCGACGCCCCGGTTGGTGCTGCGTGGTTTTGGTAGCGGCGATCATAGCTCCCTTTACACACACGACCGACCCAGAAAATAGATGCCAGGAACTCGCCCTGGACCCAGGGGAAGTCACCCGAGCCCCCCCCCCCGAGTACGCCCAAGAAGGGTGTAATCAAAGTTCACCACCCCGTACCCCGGAGTCACTCGGGGCTCGAAGGCCATGTTTAAGACATAACCAGCTCCTAATCCAATCATATCATTCTATATCCTGCTCGAGCTCGACAAGACACTAGAGTAGCCAAGAGCGAAGGACCTCGCAAACCCGCGTTATCTATGCAACGGACTCCTTATTTGGCACACAGTCCCGATAGTGACTTTTGCGACTCCCTTTGCCTGTCAACCCGCTTCTTGTCTATTAGCGCCTCGGCGTCCGATGACGCGGGAGTGCAGACAGCAGATGGATTATTCGTGAGCACATCCACTGGGCGAAGCTCAGTTCCTGCGATTTCGGTCCAGACAGAGCCTCTTCATAAAGTTGCGGTTGACAAGACGTTTCAGCTGGACAAGATAGGCACACTTGCATCGAAGATGCTACAGGAACTGGAGTTGCCCCAAGATGCCTTCGATAGCTTAGTCGCGCTAGGTGCAACAGAGCACAGGGGCGTGTCCTACAAATACACGCTCAGTTGCGAGTCTGTTGATTCGAGCCAACTGCAGTGTGTTGGCCTATCCTGGAATGCCACCGGCTCTATGGTGTGTGCGGTGTTTGGCAGACCAGATCTATGTGGATGGTGTGACGATTTGGGGATGCTCTGCTGCTGGTCTCTGTTTCGAACAGATTTTTCGCCAGGCAATCCAACTTACTCAGCGGAGCATAACTGTTGCTTAACAGCAGTTGCATGCCACCCATCACATCCCTCGGTTCTTGCAGCTGGTTCATTCAACGGTGAGATACTGATATATGATTTAGCGTCCAGCGGCGATTTTCTTGAAGCATGCTCGGAAGTGAGCGAGTATACTCATCGCGAACCCGTGACTGCGTTACAATGGACTCGAAATTTTGCGGTACCCACAAGCAGCAAGGACGCCTACTGGCTAGTTTCGCTGTCTGGCGAGGGAAGGATTCTTTGGTGGTCATTGAAGACAATAGAACCAGCGAATGCTGTAATTAGTGGTCGATTACCATACCCGGTACGGGGAGCGACGATACCTGCGCAAGCCCTTGGAAGCAAAACAATCTCCCCTGCGGTAGGGGGCACGGCGATGGCTATGGACTTGACTGGTATTTTGATAGGATCTGAGGGAGGCTTTGTGTCACGTTTCTCTTTGAAACCTAAAGCTAAGTTGCATACAGCAGTGGCCATTGACGAACAGGTGCGCTGGGAAAAGGCAGCCGATGATATACTCCGAGAATTACCCCCAGACTCCAGAACTAAAGTGCGCAAGCATGTCGAATACTGGGCCAACAGCTCGAGGAAAGAAGTTGTGACCGCCAAGGATATCTTTGCCTCCAGGCCGAAATCCAACCACATTTTCCCTTTTCTAGCTAAGGCAGTAACCGAATTTGAGGCTCACGCTGGTGCCACTGTCTTGATGCAATCTTTGTGATCGTGTGAGTTGCGATGAACATATACATGCATAGGTCGGACCAACCACGGCAATTGCATCGTCACCATTTAATAGAAACGTTTTTCTTTCTGTTGGCGTCGATGGATACCTGAAGCTCAGATCGACAATGCAAAAGAATGCTCTCGTCTCTTCGGGAAGTTGTAGTGCTAGAGATGAAGACCGCATTTGTTTACTCAACGGACTCTATGCCGCAGACTGGTCAAAAGTGCGTCCTCTAATCTTTGCGATTGCAGGTGACGGTGGCGTGGTGCGCGTCTATGACCTTGGTGGGGCACAGGCGATGGTACCAGTCGCCGAGCTTGAAAACCCCGCCGCCACCAAGAGCACCCGAACGCGCATACATTCAATTCAGTTTAATCACAGACAACGTGACTTTCTGGCCTGTGGCGATGCAAACGGCAATGTGCACGTATGGCAGTTGTCATGGGAGCTGTCAAACCTGGTATCTCATGAGAGTGAGGAGCTTAAAGCATATTTGCGCATGGATGTCCAAATGGAAGGCGAGTAAGCAGCTGCCTGGCTCTTCAAACAGGCCAGAAGTTGCGCCCCCTGGTGACACTCCGCAGAGTAGTGGGTGTTGGAATCCGAGTATGCTAGTATCCAGCACCAGCATAGTATAGCATGAGCATAGCCAGTGGAGTGATCAACGTACATCTAGGCCGGCCCATAGGAAATTAATTAATAAACATCAATCATCGAATTCCGGCCGGCGGAGCCAGAGTCACTAGTCGTCCATAGAGGCTGTACGTCGACCGCGCGCGCGGGCGCGGTGTCGCGGCGGTCTGCGGGTGAAATCACGGCCAAAATTGGGTTATGGTCGTATCAAAGCAAGCTTGATGATATTCGCGCGTTAATTGCACGTTTGCGATGGCTTTAGCGCGCGGACGCCAGTTCGGGTCAGAAAATCGCCAGATTTAACCTCAACAAAAGTGCTGAAGTTCAACAAAAATGTCGACTTTTAAATCCAGGCTACCAGGGTCTGAGTTTTGATCAAATCACTGAGCATAGCCAGTATATAGGGCAGACTTAGCATAGGCTGGCTTATCGCCAAGCGCACTTTGATTGTGCTGAATCACACTCGCGTTCTGACCACGATAGTCGCCGTATGTCATGGTAGCAGGTGCGCTGTGATCAATCAAAACCGAAATACACACTAGCAGGCGCATAAGGCCAGCATAGCAGGCGCATAGCAGGCGCGTAAGACCAGCATAGCAGTCCGGGGGGGGGCAAACTCTAAAACTCGAAGGTTTTGGACTTGGCTTGTGCGACCGAGAGTCCTACGCGTAGATGTAGCGCTGGGCTACGGGTTTTATCCACAGCAAAAGATCATGGCGACGATCGTTGACAGGCTCATGAACATCGATATGGTGTGTTTGTGCCCACAGATGGACATAGTGGCTCTTGTGACCAGGGATGGAGCTCTCGTGATGTACCGCACGACCTCATGGCAACGGCTGATGGCACCGACGGAATTGCTCGCAACGGGAGCCATCAGCGCTCTTTGTTGGTCACCCGACGGGCAACAGCTGGCGGTGGGACATGTCCAAGGGGCGTTGACAATATTTGATATTGAGGCAGAGAAGTTAGTCGAGGGCGCAAAGGTGTGTTGGGGCAAGGATGTCGAGCATGCGCACAAGATTTCTCTCATGTGGTGGGCCCAACAAGTCTGCACGGGTGCGCATTCCTCGAATCGTAGTGCTGCCGACATCGAGAGTGTAGACCTTACCGAGAGTCACAGTGTGGCCGTTATGTTCACCATTGAAGCATGATGTTTTTTCACACGAATGGTATAATCTACAGGCCGGCTATCGCCAGGGCGAGCGCTTCTTGCTCAAACCCCAGAACTGTGATGTTCAGGCATCCGCCTGCACAGCCCCCGGAAAAACTGAAAATTCGCACAGTTGTATGCTTCAGGCATTGAAACCATTGACACTTCTGGTGACTGGAGATGAAGATGGTGCGCTCGTATTATCAGTCGGGGGACTCTTTCCTGTTGCACGTCTACGGCTCAGCGGGTTGGCCGCCGTTGCTGTTGCCTGTTGTGCCTCCGGAGATCTTCGGAGTCTTTATGTTTGGACTCAGACTATCAACGGGCCTAAGCTTGAGGTATATAATATGGAATTCTTAATAACACGCCAACACGAGGTGCCGCCACGCCTCATCTTCAGAATTCATCACTACAAGTGAACTCGAGTCATATCGCAGGTTGCTCTAGCGATCCCTGGGTTTTTGATTGTTGCTCTGCTAGTTGAGAAAGCCACAGCGGCTCGACGTTCTGCTTGCAAGGCATGGAGCGAGTCTCTTGAGCCATTAGACCAGAAGTTGGCAGCATATGCTAGCACACTGCAGGAATGGCACTCGGGCAAAGGACCACCACCCGCGTTGAAATCCGAGCTTCTTGCGCTGGTGAAGTTATTTTTCAAGCGCTAGTTGTTGTCATGCTTCCACCGTAGGTCATGCACGGTGTAGCCAGTTCAGCTACAGCGCAATTTTTAGAGACTAATATGGTCGAGCCAGGGCTGAGTAGGGCTCATAAGCTCTTAGATACCGCTGCAATCAATGCGGAGGAGGCGATAAATGACCATCTGCTGTGTGCAGCTAGACTTTTGTGTTATCACGCCGAGGAACTCAGTTCGTATAGTCGGCTGGGCGGTGCCGGATTCCGTCCAGAGGCTATTGGCCTAGATCTTGGGCTCTCGCGTGCTCTCTTGCACGAGGCAGAAAACCTGGCAATGGCGTCAGAGGTGTTGATTTCAGACATGAGATCTGCACGCTCTGCTCTGTCCAAGCTGCTGAGATGGTTTCGAGTACTTCATCTGACTTCGCAAGCAGACAAAGGTGCGACGTCCAGCGCCGCCGAGGAAGATGCCCTGAAGTCCAAATTAAAGAGTCACAATCAGCGTGAAATAGTAACTCTTCTAGAATCCACTCCTCTGGACAATAGTCCAATGCCATGCTCCCAGACAGAGGCTCTTTTAAATTTAAACGTCACGTCAGTCCTTGCCCATCCTGGAGTGCACGACACAAAAGCATCACACGATGCGGGTAAGCGTGTCCTTCCTGATTACCCAACCGCACAAGATATCGCGCATCGTTTACGAGTTGTTGTTGAAAATGAAAAGCAGATGACTGAAGACCCAGGAATGAATCCTTCGCTGCAGCCAGAAGATCATCAATCTCATCCTTCTGATTGCAGAGACTCTTTGCACAAAGACGAATCAGTTATCCTTCATACAAGGATTGAAGCGGTAATTTTTCAAGTGCATTTATATGATAACTTCTCTGTCCCAAGATCTGGTGCATTCAGAAATCTAATCGAGTCCAATTATTAAGCATTAAATTGTGTTTGCTCAGGTTCGTGCCGCCATGGATGCGATTTTCTCTCGGACACGTCAAGTTCTTACCGCGACCATCGCGAAACACTCCTCGATTCAATTCCCAAAGGAGGCTCTGGATGACGCCAAATTGGCAGGTCGTTGTTGTTTCACCGCGCACATTCCCAATCCACGAAGAACTGCGCAGCTTTCCGTTCAAGATGCCCATGATTGCCTACGTGACGTCTCAGTTCTAATCAAGGCCACTGATTCAATACTCTGGCTGTCTAGATCCAACAATCACGACACTACGCATGCCTGTTTGGGCCTTAAAGCACCGGATGATGCTTTGATTACTCAAGCGAGATTCTATGCCTCACAACAGGGTTCATATTCCAGGAACCACAACTACATCACTGTTCTTGTCAAACGAAATAGTGGCCATGACGAGATTTGGCTCGTTGGCAATGCGGAAATCATGGAAGCGCACGGTGCTAGACTGACTCAAACGAAAAGGGAGCTCGCATTCGCCTATGAAGACATAATGGACTGGTCCAATAACATTTATCAGGACACTCCATTGCGAAATATACAATCATGCGACATCAAAGTCATTCCTCTTGCCAGAGCACGCTCTAGAGCTTTATTTGTCTCAGGTTG